TGGCCGAGGCGGCAGAGTTGGCTCGTAGTGACGAGGCGAGAATAGGCCTGTTCTGCTTCAATGTAGCCGATACCGCTGGTGCTATCGGCCGGTGTCGCCTCCGGTTGTTGACCGGGCAGAAAGTGTCTGGTCAATCGGTCGAGAAGACGAGGCTCCTCCGAGCTCTCCGAGTACAGCTCCCCCATCTCTGTTTTGTCACGGTTGTGTCTATTCAAATCTTCCTCTGACATTCCCTCCGTTCTGGCATATTTCATGTACCCTTCGTACCCTTTCTCGTCACCTTCTTCCCCGTCATTAGCCTCCGTTTCATTGGCAGGTCTCTCCAGCTCCTCCTCATCTCCCTCATAATCATCATCATCTTCATCATCACCGCCACCCCCGCCGTCTTCATCATCGTCATCATCGACATCATCGACATCATCGACATCATCGACATCATCGGCATCATCGTAGTCGTATTCGCCAGGACAGTGATCCAGTCTCGTTCTGGTCAGGCTCGACTGAGGCCTACGTAGCCGATTGCCTCCTCTGGCCGGTAGCGATGGTGATTCATCTTCAACCAATTGTCCCGGCCAAATCAACTGACGATAGCCATAGCCTGCATCTAAATCGGCCGATCGGAGTGTCGTCATGCCAACGTCTCGCTCCGACACAGCATCAAGCGTAGTTGTCTGCGAAATCTGCCGCAGACTCGTGACACCCATCTGTTGAAGATGAGGCTGTGCTGAAGTGGAAATTTGCTGTTGTTGTTGTTGCTGTTGTTGATGATGATGATGAGGATGAGGAGGATGATGTTGATGAGGATGCTGATATTGATGCTGATGTTGATGCTGTTGTTGGTGATGGTGGTGTAGCACTTGATGCACCGAGGCATAGACAGGCCCCGAGAGACCAACCTGATGAAAGAGACGTTCAGGCGAGGCCTGCGACAAATGCTGGCCCGAGGACTCGGACTCTCCGGGTCCCAGAGCATCGGCGAACTGGTACTCGAGTTCTCCGGGCCCAGATGACTCGAGGACTCGTTTCAGATAAGCGATGTATCCGGCCGCCAACTTGAGTGTGTCCAGTTTCGACAACTTCGTATCTTTGGGCACCCAAGGCAGAGCGCTTTTGAGGTCGACAAAAGCGCCGGACAGAACACGCATTCGTGAACGTTCACGAGCATTAGCAGCGCAACGTTGTGCCATCGTGCTATTCAGTCCCGGCTTTCGACCTCGTCGTTTCCCATTCTGTGTCAGGCTGAGACAATCGCAGACTCCTGTCACCATGGCGCCGATACACGCTCCCGTGGCGACCGTTCCAGTTGCTAACGCGGGCACAGGCAGGGTACCAGCTTCACCAGAGGTCTCGGGTTGGTCGGTGCGAGTGGTTTTTTTCCCTGTAACCCCGTTCGCCTGACGACGAAAGTTGTGCTTCGAAGATCCAGTCGGACCCACCGAATTGACCGAGCCGACCTGACCGGTCTGTGAGTGGAGACAAGACGAGTGTAGATCACCGCCGTCGCCGCCGTTCAGTCCGATAGATGGACCGACGAAACTGGTTGTCGGTTGGGGTGCATGAAATGCCAGTGTCATGGCAAC